AGTAATGTTTTCGAAAATTACAATAGAAATGTAACAAAACCAGAGAAAACAAGGAATCAAAGATAACGTACCTTCGTGTATAAAGACTGAAATATCGAGGGTTAAATGCAATTTGAAATTATATGTGTAACAATCCTTGTTATGGTTTCATTCCTTTCAAATATAAATTTAAAAAGAGAATCAGTTGGAAAGCCATGTTGTATGGTTAGTTACAATGCTATGGAAATCCATCAAAAGTACTCTCGGGGGAAGTCCTAGGCATTTCTGTTTCCCATACGTGGAATGGAATTTAGAACATATAACAAATGATAATCTGGATTTATAAAGCGCGTTATACGAAATACTGTCTCTATAAGCGCTTTACAGATATTATAACCCCGGTCATCTGATTCATTCACGCACAATATGCACCCTCTCCACTCCCTGGGGAGTATTCCTGCCATTGATCTAAGTGAGGGCATATGGCAATTACTAACACAAAGGCTTTCGCCATCCTACGAGATCCCCATTTCTCTCTTGGGTATGAAGTGTCAAATGTTGGTTAATGTCTTGCCAAAGGAAATTAGTGCCGTGTTAGGAATCGAACCCAACAAACTTTGCTTGACTTGACTTCGACACTTCTCCAGATTAGGAATATTTATCACTTGCTATCTTTAGGAATTAATAGCCGTTCTATCCACTTGTTGCAAAAACATGTAAAATATTTGACGTGATATGTAATTGGGACTTAGGACTTGCCCTTGCATAAAGACAGTGATAGTAACGATTATTTTACAATTTTCATATCGCGCAATTAATAGAATTTTAATATTGTCGGAGACTTGGTAAACAAAAAACTACTTTCACAACTATATCAAAATGTGAGACGACACCTTCAAATGACACTAGTGTTTTGATAGATAGAACATTACAAATAACAAAATACCTTCCTCACCCAAATTAGCCTTATCAGCATTTTTTGTAATGTTCTTCCAGAGGGCCCTATAGTTGTTACCCCAGCCTTAGCCAAGCTACAATGGAGCGATCACTGCATTCAAGGAATTTCTTCCATTTGAGTACCCATTTACTACTCCTGGGCAGAGAGTGGCAAATATAGATTGATGTTCTGCCAAGTGACATTCTAAATACACAAAGTGGGATTTCAATGTTTGAAAGATCGATGGCTATTAATTTGGGGTCATATGTAGAAGTGCTACATATGTATCCCCGAAATGGTCTATTATGGAGATATGAAAATGAATGGGCATCAACATTATGTTGTTACTAGTATTTGGTGTGAGCTAAGCCCAATTCAGTTGGGTTATCTTTTAATGATCAAATATAATAACAATTATAGATATGGTTATTAACGTTTATAGGACAAAAAAGCTTGCACCTATTCATCATTAAACAGACCTTGAAATTGGAGTAATGGTCATGATTTATCAAGCGCTAAAATAGGGAACGTTGATATTGCATCAACAAAGCAATGCATAATGATTATGAATAACTTACACATAATACACACTTTATACAACAATATCGTAAAATCTGTTATAATTATAGTACAATAATAACAAAGCCGTCGCAAATAGTCTATATTCAACATAGAAGAGCATGTACATGAACATGATTGTACACAATCATCAATCATATTTAGAATCAAGTCCAAATGAAGATATTCGCATATTTTTCTAAAAACCACTATCTTCCGATTTAACCCCAACATTTCTTCAATCTTTAATCAGGCACAATTGATTTTCATAACTCTTTTTGTGTGGTTTGGCTAAGATTCTTTTATAATACTTAACCTGTCAATGTAGTTATTATACAATCGTGTTGGAAAATGGCAAAAATGCAGAAAAAAAAAGTAATTAAATGGCAGAATATTTTTGTATTATATATATCGAGTAGTGAGCGTAGAATATGAGTCAAACATTATGATCTTTAATGATCCAGAGCAAAGCACTTAAATGTACTAAAGCTCTTCTGAATTGCTCAATTTAACAATTACTTTTAAATGAGAAAGATCAACATCTTGTAAAGCCCAGGAAAAGATAATGCGCCAAGTTGGGCTCATGCATGCCGAGGCTTGTAACGACAAAGAGCTTTACCGCCGGTCTTGGAGTGAAAAAAGAGAAAGACTGATTTCTTTTCCATTTGACGGCCCAGAATACAAGCTGTATAATTTGGTAAAAGAAGACTGACATGGATGAAAAATTCATATCATCCCCTAGCTCATTTTCATATAGATTAATTTCGGAGCAGATTGATTTGTTATGGTATCTCTTATAAGTACCCAGATGTGGGTACTTATCCCTCATGAAAGTTTAATCAATCGGGTAATTAATATCACCCATCTCCTAACTTTTACTCTCTTCTTCTTTCATCTGTTCTCTCTCGACTCAGAATAATTTTCTGTCATTTATTTTTATTTTCTCAACACCGTGTCTCAACCTCGATTCTGTCCACCCCCTCTCTTTCCCCTTTAGAATAGCGATACGTGTCCCTTAATTTGTGTTAATTAAATCTCGTCCTTTTAAAAATGACTTTCTCTTTAACTCTTTATGCAATTTAATAATTCCTTAAAGTAACATTTATCCGTGAAGGACATGAAATCTCATTTAAATATTAAATTGTGCTCCTCTCAGTGCAATACTTACTAGCCAAGGAAGGGTATTGTTAATGAGCTGAATTGAACGTACAAACAGATACCGATCGGTCTTGAAAGTGAACTCCACTTCTGGAGACCAATAACATCTGTTATAGGGTAAAAATTCGAATGGTATATAATTATTCATGGGAACACACGATTGTATGTCTTTATTATTCCATTAACCTATTTAAAAAGAGTACAATATTAGTCATAAGTTATTAAATAATCTCAATCAAATACATCAACATACACATTTTTTGATGCAATGACTTATAAAAACCTTTTAAATTATGCGTTTTAAATGATTATTTAGGACAAGTACGCCCTCGATTATCATTCGAGGCAAATATCCACAACTACCTCTTTGGATAACTAACTGCCTTTGGCAACTTCCATCGAACACAAATCTGTTGGGCCAACAACCTTTCCAGGACAACTAAATGAGGTCATCCACCCCTAGCGCCGAGTTGAGCTCATGCCGAGGCTTGTAACGACAAAAAGCTTTACCGTCGGTTTTGAAGTGGACAAAAAAAGACTGATTTCTTTTCCATTTGACGGCGAAGAATACAAGCAATGACTCATTAAAAAGCTTTCAAATTATACGTTTTAAATGATTATTTAGGACAACCAGGGACTTGGGAGAACTACGCCCTCGATAATCCTTTGACGCAAATATCCACAACTACCTCTTTGGATAACTAACTGCCTTTGACAACTTCCATCGAACACAAATACCCTGAGACATTAACCTTTCTAGGACTTTCTACTCCTTACGTATAGGATGTAGGGGGTAGTACATTGGAAGATGCAATAGTTTACGGTAGTCATTACCGGGGGGGGGGGGTCCTAGGTAGTAATTGTCTTATGTAGTAGTTTTTTTCTTAATATTTGTACGGAGCTAATAATCCAGGCTGGTTATCAAAGGCAGCTTCAAACACAAACTACATTTTATTTCAAAATTTCTACGTAAAATAGTTCAATTTAATAAAAAAGAGCATGTATTCAAAGCCTATTCAGTGTTTCTTGATACAGACAAATTTCATTGGTTGGGGGTGATCATAGACATGTCAGTGAGGCATCCACCAACCTCGGATTTAGTAGACAAGCTTTCATCCACTTATGTGGACTCTCTCAAGCCAACAGATTCTTCACACAGTTTCTTGCTCCCTAGCTGCTTCGCCGAGATCACTGAAACAGAGTCTCTCTCTATTCAGTGAATGATTAATCCTTTTGATCCATATGGATTCTTTCACCTTTCTTGACCGGAAATGATTTCAAAGTCAATAATATGGGCATCATCCCACGCGTTTCTAATTTCTACCCGACCGTCAAGTTGACAGAACAAGGATTTCCAATAGATTTTGTGTCACATTGCGATTTAGCGGGAAGATCAAGGGCGTTGCAAAGGATGGTGTAAAGTTGTGACACCACCCTCCACTAATTTTTCTGCTAGAAATTAGCCTTGCCTGCTAAGTATAGAACTCTGTTGGAAAATTTGAAAACGTGAGAGTCATTTTTGTTTTCGCTTGCTCGTTTGTAGAAGATTTTTGCCTAATTTTGGTGTAATTTTGATCAGACACGTATTATATTCTTTTTCATGTGATGTTAACTCCAATGAATTGTGAAATTGTGAACATGCATATTACATAAATAAATAAATAAAAACACTGCCGTTTAACACGGCTTAGCAACGTCCCTGCTGAAGAACTTTAAATCCTCCTTCCTACCAATTACCAGTCATTATGTTCTATCTTTATATATGTGTATGTGTGTGTGTGTGGTTCATGAGCACCCTTCTTTTCTACATGGCAAATGAACAACCTACAATTACGCTGTAAAATAGATTAGACAATGTCTTTCCGGAGACACCTTTACTATTTTGTAACTTCATTATAACTGTTGATTACACTCGATGCCAAAATGATGAATAGAACACGTGCCCTACCTTATAAACGAAGCTTTAAATGTGGTAGCAGGCTTGGCACAATGTTTAAAGAATCCATGCTACTCGATGATATAATATGTGCTTCGAGCCAACAAGTAAATGATTTCCTTCAATACAATTTACTATCCAACCTTGCAGGTCAGTCATTAGATTCGTTATATATATATATTGTGTGTGTGTGTGTGTGTGGCAGACACCACGCAGTTATGTATCTTCGGTCTAGTCATGGGATGGATGCTCGATACTGGTCTTACTAGTTCCATGAAATAAGAGGGAGCGAAGCGAACGAGCGAGGCAGGACTCTTCGATGGGGGCCGTGTCAATTTCTTATACAGATTTCACTTCTCATTTCATTTGCCACTGCTTTTCGAATCGCTCCCTGTAGATCCACCACTGATGTATTACCACGGTCGAGTCCATTCACACACCGTCTTCAAGAATGCATCTTGGACAGCGAAGGGCCTGCTCTTCCTCTTTGTGACAATACTTTCCCATCTTATCCATTTGAATTTCACATGATTCGCGGGATTCTTTATGGCCAGGGACGTTATTCTTATGAATAACGTTGCTGACGTGTTGATGAGTAAGGGCTGTATATGTACGCCCGCTCAGCTGACTGCTCTCTTGCGCCTCGCGATGCGCCACAAAGCACGTGACCTTGCGGATAAAATGGCGCCGAAATGAAGAGCTCATGGCGTAGAGGATTATGGGGTTGATGCACGAAGCGAAGTAATACAGCCCGGATCTACTGGCGCGGAAGAGGTACATGGACCTCGTGCCAAATATTTTAAAGTCGAAGAAAAATAGGAACCATGAATAGTAGATGTAATGCGGCAACCAGCACAGGGAGAAGACAAGGGTGATGACCATGAGGTTGATGGCTACGCGGACTCTCGCGTTGTCGGTACCAGAGGTGCGAATCTCTTTCCGCAAGAGGTGTCGCGCGCAGATGCCGTAGAACACCGTCATGCAAAGTACAGGTACGACATACAGAAAAATCAACTGGAACATGAAGTAAATCCGAAAGGAGAGCTGCTCATAAGGATAGGTGCATCTCTCGGACGCGGACTCCGTTGCCGAGACAGCATAGGCGCCGAACGTACTCGCAAGAAGCCAGATAAACCCACACGCAGCAGACGTCGTGCGTAAACTACGGATCATGCGGAATTTTAGTGGGATGACGATGGCACAGTAGCGTTCGATGCTGATCGCCATGAGGCTTAAAGCGGAGACGGCAAATGAAGTGAAGTAGGTGAAGTGATTGAGATGGCACAACCAAGGCTGCTGGTTGTACCCTGGAACAAGAGCATCCACAAGCTGAGGGATCATGGAGAATCCTAAGAAACACAGGTCTCCTATGGACTGATTTGTCAGGAGTACACTTGGAGGAGTTCGCAGGTCCCTGACAGTCGCTACAAGCCAAATTAAACTCGTGTTAGCGATCATACCAATGATAAGTACAGCGAATAGAAACCCAATATACAAGGTTTTGTTTATGGGTGGGCTAGCAAACGGTAATGTAGTGTAATTGTCCATGGTGTAATTATCTACGTGGTCCATTTTGCAGAAATAAATAATCACACAATTTCACTGAAGTAACGTGTAAAATCAATACACTATGAATACAAAGTTTCAGTGTGTGTTCATATTTTCAGCAGCAAATAACGCGAATCCCATTGCAATTGTTCAGTTTCACTTGTTAGGTATCCCTAACATTAAAGAACGTACACACGACACACAGGATAAAGGATAAGCGAGTCAGTTCAGTCATTGACTTCTGTCATTGAATTTTCACAGAAAATCACCACCACGTAAACAAAAAAAAGTATTTCACAAATCAGATATTCATCAAAAAAAAGCAAGAGCAACGACTTCAAATAGTTTAGTCATTCCTACATTAGGTTTAATTTGATTAATCCAGACCTTGATAGAAAGTTGCCATCCTTCTCCTTGAATCAGTAGTCCATCTATTGCTCTAGCTTCTTTTGTTCAAGTGCGATCATGACCATATTGTCGAGAAAACAGGTACGAACCCTTTATAGGTGTCAAGACTTCTTGCTCAAGATGAAGAAAAAGGGCGACTCTAGAATATCTCTGAAAGTATTCTACGCACTAATCTGTAGAGAAGAATGATAAAAATAATGCATTAAATTTAAAAGCAACTAGCTGCTTTATCTATGGAGGTGAAAGGAGGAGTGGAATCAAGCCGTTCTCCTTTGATCCATGCTCCAAGCCGCCGAAAAGTTATGCACTAATCTGCAACTGTTGACCAGGTGGTGAGATAAACAAGCATGAAATATCAGGATTTAGAATTTTTACATCAGAAAATGGTATCTCAGCAAATGTTCGCTGTCCCTTTCAATGATTTCTTATCAATATTGGTGAATGTTGAACAAGCGAACCCCAACTTTTGTAATTTCATACCTTTTTTGCAATTGCAATTGCAATTGCAAAAAGCACGCAACAGCACGCATTAGCAAACTTAAAGTTATCGAAGATTGTAAATCATGGATTAAATGACGGGACATCAAAACTTGCGAAAATAATCGATTTATCCTAAAGTATTGTTTTTGACAGGATCTAATTTTTCTTTTACCAACTCTGGCACATAAATTGTAGAAAGGGCGGAGTACTAAATCGAAAAATTGTTTGATTCACTATTCCCAATACAAAACCCATATAAAATTTATAATTTACACTGGAATTTTGCCGGTAATTTAATAAATGTGAATCTGGTGCCTGGCCTCTGAAATTCCCCGCAGTGGAAGAGCGGCTTGAAGCATGGAACTTCAAAGCCATGTGGAATGTTATACGCATCCCACTTACGCTTTAGAACTCACGCATGCGTTTGAATACATTTCTAGAGTTTGCTTTATCTAATGGGAGAAGAAATACGACTACCGTTAGGTAAAAAGTTTAAGGGGCTATGACGTCGGAACCCAACAATAGAAGAACATAGGGCAGTCCTGATGTCATTTGTTCCGACTTAACATTATGTCAAATGAATAATTTACACTGCCCTCTCTAGCCTTCTTTCCGTTCTACTCTTTCATCTATTTTTTTTTCATACGCACGCACACACGCACTCACAACGCACACACACGCGCCCAACACCCTCGAACGCACGTATGATATCAAAGACGTTTAAATATAATTATGATATGGCCGCCCACCCCTCATTCTGTTTTTCCTTTCGCCCCCTTCTCTCTCTCTCTCTCTCTCTCTTTCTGTCTCTTTCACTCTACATCTATATTGTATTCGTTTCTAACATGCTGGCATTCACTAGCTTTCGGGATCATTATAACACAAAGTAGAATTCAACACTAAATATAATTTAGATTTTACCCATTCAAGTATAAATTGGTAAAGAAAATGGAAACTAAATGGGACTGCACTTTTTTCGAACCTAGAACTTAGGGGAGCTTAAGCATACTGAATAAAGACCTCGGTATCTTAATCTTTACAATAAAATACATTCAAAAATAATTCAAACATGTACTCACTCTTAGAAATTGCTGTTCGCATTATACAGCAGTCGGGGATGTTCAAGATATGGTGTCCTAAAAAGAAGATAGCCAAGGATATGGAGTGAAAGAGAAAGAAACAAAGAGAGAGAGAGAGAGAGAGAGAGAGAGAGTGGTAAAGAGAGGGGAGAAAAGGAGAACATTTAAATGAGCAAATGAAAGGTCCTTATGTAGCGTACTGCGTAGTTATCGTTAATGAAAATAATTTGCATGAAATAAATATCAAAATCAAATAAAGGAAACAGTACACTCTGTCAGATATTCAAATGGATTGTATACCTATATTCGTGAATTTACGCTTACTGGTTTATCTTCCTCCTTTATAAAGTAGCTAACCTTTTTACGATGTGATGAGGGGGATTGTGTTCTGAAATAATTTTAACCAATTGAAATGCCTTAACCCTTTATGTACGTTCCAAGAACATTTTCCTTTACAATACTGGGTATGAATTTGCCACGAGGGCAATTATATATCCAAGCAACTTTGGGCGCTTTCTTAAAATCCAACTTGGGTAATAGTTTCCTATTTAGAAGTAATTATTCTATATTTCAACCTTAATTGGACAATACATTACCCAATTGCGTGAAGAGATACCCAGAGTTTGTTGGATACATAATTACCCTCGTGCTGAATACATTTTAACCTAATATTTTTAGGAGTGAAGAATGAGAAAAGTTGTTGTATGTGTACTTTAAAAATAACTCATGAAATTTAACATAACCATTAAAATATAATAAATCAATACATCAAAACACGATAGGCCTGCGTCGATAAGTTTAGAAACTTGAGACGGCATGAGGCTAGGTCTGGTGAATAAAATCAACGAAAAGTATTAACCAAAGGCCTGAGGGAACTTGTGTTATCACATGGTTGATAAAATATGAGGACACATTTGCTTTACCGTCCTTTGAAACTTCGCACTCCCTTTTTTTTTGGGGGGGGGGGGGCTTGAGGTCCTATGTCATTCTCAGCTGGGTTTTTGCGATTTATTGGGAGGCGCATACTAAACGCTATGCACCCCCTCGTATCTATGTCTCGGTAAGAAGTGAGTGTACAAAACTCATTCCTATAGTATTAGCATTTTTTGTATTGCGGCATTATCCTTAAAGGGATCGTGTAACAATGTTAAATCTGAGATACACGGCCCTACGTGTTATCAGTGTCTGTGATATGGTGTAATATTGAAGCCCTAAAAAATTGCGCTTCAAAATGATCAAGAAGTGCCTCAAAAAAGTAAAAATCTTTGAGTGACCGGTTTTACCATACTCGTTTTCCCAAATAGACTGTAGTGTTATGAAAACCGTCTGGCGAACGTTTTTCAAAATTTGTAATTCCAATCATAAATATCTTGATAATCAGGCAGGCGATCGGCTTGTAAAAGTCATGGGGTTCCTGACTGACCATGATCATGAGCTAAATCAAGAATTTTGTTTCAGAATCTGAGACAAAGTTACCGGATCTCTTTAATCAATGTGAAAGATCCATACTGGTCATACTGATGCTTCTTCTTTCATCTCAGCATCGATCAAGATTAGACATAATTTGTCAAGAAGTCATGCACAATTTTTTTAGATAAAGGTTAATTTTAATTTAAAAAATAGCGTTTCCCTTTGTGATCAAACCTTCGAAATAAGTTTGTTGGTATGAAAGCAGCAGATTGATAAAAACAGAATGTTTTTTTCCTTTGGAGCACCACTCGAAATATATTATGGATACCATATAAACGTGCTCTATATTTCAGAAAATTGAAATTTGTTGACATAATGGCAACTGCCTGATTTAGTTATACACTGCATAATGATAAAAGTCAACGCCCTCATCGCCCTTTTATCGTAAATAATAATTATCCTTGCTTACATAGCGCCTAACACTATGCAGAAGTCTCTAAGCGCTCTACAATATAAATGCAGCACAATTACCCTGGCTTTAGCAGTGCAGCTGTTACGCGCACTGCGTTTCAAGGAATAAATTCCTACCAGGTACCCATTTACTTCACCTGGGTGGAGTGTGGCAAATGTAGATCAATGTCTTGCCAAGACATAAGTGCGGCGGTGGGACTTGAACCGCGGACCTTGTGATCGGCAGTCCGGCGACGTATCCGGCGTGTGGGTTCGTGTGTATGTGTTCTGTGTTTGTGTGTGTGTGATACGTATAGTCCCATGTGTCGTCCAAATGGGTTTAATGTTGATTACTTTGCCAGCGGATGTGAAGTTTATTCTTTTTCTATATTTTCAGAGTTAAGATCCATTAGAGATGTCAAAATGTGTTAACCACCCATCAATAATATTAATCCGGGCACGTCAGTTTCTCTGAGGAATACAGTTGAATTTTTATCGTTAAATTGTTTGTTATTTTTGCATTTTCTTCGTTTGCTGGCCATCTCATCTAACGTAAAGCGCATATCACGTTCAAAATTACTCACTGAGAACTATATCCATTTCGACTGATCAGGTTTTTATGCTAAAATTCCCTTTTACCACGAAATACAGTGATGCAAATATCAAAGTGCCAAAACTGTGATACACTTAGGGTATTGAAATACCTATGGTAGGTAAAGTACTGCATCTATAGATGTCAAGGTTGGAAAATAACTATATGATATAAAGGTGCAAAAAAAAAATGAATACCATTTCAGTGGAAATAATGTATTTGAAAAAGGGGAGGGGATAAATGACTTTTTTTAAATCCTTCAAATCGCTTTTTTAGGCGAATTGATTATTAATCCACTACATTGGTTAATACCTTCCACGGTATTAGCTATTCCATTTTGCATTATTCACAGGTGACTAAACAAAATGAAGTTTTCCACGTAAAGATCTGTATAGGGCCTGCAATCTTTACAATTTTTCCCTAGGACATTCCTTTAAGCTTCGAGAAATATAATACTGCAACAACAAACCATGTGAGAGCAAGCGACAGGGAACGAGAAAAGGGGAAAGGGGATTAAAGGGAGAAATTAATCAAAGATGCACGTTAATACTAATAGAGGGGTATAATGAGTTTGACTTTCAAATGACCATTTTTAATTTACAAGCCCAGCTTTGTAATAGATTCCCTTATAAAAAAAGTTTACACCTAGAAAATTGCAAATTATTTTAAAAATCATCTATGAACAGTAAATTAGTATACATCTTATGAAAGAGTGTTTTATCCCAAATCATTTAGTACCATTTTTGGGTGGTATGTGTTCACGCGTGGATGAACAGGTGGCATTGTTTGCGAGAGTGCAAAAATCGACTTGCGCCAAAGTGATGCCTACAGTATGTATTATGTTGGGATTAGCGGAGTGAGAGAATGAATTGAATGTATCAAATGAAATGCATTGCATATGTTGTTTGCAAAGGGCAAAGTCACA